CACACACACACACACACACACACACACACACGCAGAGAGAGACAGACAGACAGACAGACACAGAGAGAGACGGACAGACACAGAGAGAGACACAGAGAGAGACACACAGAGAGAGAGAGAGAGGGAGAGGGGCGTTTGCGTTTGTAGACAAGACTAGGGGGGAGGGTGCGCTATCTGTTTTCAGTCATGCTCTTAGTCGGAATATCACTATTAGAACGGAGGCGTGCTTTTTTGTGTAATCGATTTTTTTTTTTTACCAGCTGTGTCGTTCGTTCCCGTATCTACTGGTTGTAGTTACTTATGTTGTTGAGTTGTGTTTTTTTTGGTTTTTGTTTGTTTTGTTTTTTGTCGTACTGTTTTAAAAAAATGTTTTTATTGCCTATAACCGTTTTGGATATGCAATAGTTCCAAAATGCCTCATCGTGCTTACACGTGGAGAAACTGAATGTAATACCCACGCTGCTGAAGGTGTTTGAAAATGTGGGGGAATTGGAGGTTACAAAATATATTTACATGTATGTTCATAAGTATGTGTCATTTTAGACATCTTTTCTGAAAGGTTACTTTGCGGATAGTTGGGAGAACGTCCCCGATGCAAATTCTTTTGTATCATTTTTTTTTAGTTTTTCTTTTTCATATCTCTAAAGTTTAGTTATGCCAATGTGCCGCTCTTTATCCAAAATCGAAGCCTGACTTCCGGAATTTTGTCTCCCCCCCCCCCCCCCCCTACACACACACACACGAAAAAAAAAAGATAAATTAATAAGTCAGTCAATGTAAATTAATAAATGACTAAGTAAAATGAATAGGAATAACTTCGTGAATAATTATGCTCTAGAAAGTATGTCGGTTGGTATGTGGGTTACGATTAACGACAAGACTTACAATAATGATAGACATAACTATTCTTTTCCTACACTGACACGTAGTATTTGCTGTGTTGAAGCTTTTATACAACAGGCCGTGCTCTACTCAAACATAGGCGTAGGCTACTTATTAAACGTGTTTGTTTTAAAAGTTTCACTGAATTCGTGATTGTGAAATGAAAAGACGCGGTTTACATACTCCGGGCTATTTATGATATCATTTATAATTAAGGGTGCCATTCTTGTTGCTTCCGGCGAAAGCAGTAGTTTCCTTTCGTTTCCTGGGCTGTCTGTGGTTGTTAATCGATTGCCAAGTCTTTGCTTACGACATACGTAGTAGTATGCGCTTCGTTGCTGTTTTTCGCATCGTTCAAACAAAAGGCGGCAGTTGAGATGGATTAGAGAGTGGAGTCGATTCAGATGCGGGGGAGGTGTTAAACTACGTCACTCACACTGCCCTATATAGACTTACATCATCATCTCTCTCTCTCTCTCTCTCTCTCTCTCTCTCTCTCTCTCTCTCTCTCTCCGTGTGCGTCTCATTGTCAACTTATTTCCTCCTCCTCCCCCTTTGCACGCAGCCCGTTCCCCCTTCCTGTCGTTTATCATCCCCCCGTTATATATAGCGGTGTTCTCTGATTCTGTCCATTTGAGCTGAGTGTTGTTTAGCTGTTGAGAGTTTTGTCTGGCAATGTTTTTTAAGAGTTGTGTATCTCCTTTTTCTTTAAATGTTAACAACTAGACGCTATGCGTATCATTCTCAAGGTCTGGCTTTTCGCCTCCGCCCCCTGGGATGCGAACCCCAAACATCTGCATTGCAGGTCAAATTCGTAGCTCGCTGTAGTTCACGAAAGTTATGGATAACCAGGGACTGTGGCGATGATACAATGATACAGCGATGGCGTTGCCGTTCCTTTGGCAATATGTAGAAATGAGAGTGAGCTGACCCGATTTTAGTGAACTAATCGTTCCTCACTTTAAGATTGATTTCGTACTGTCTATTAGGGCGTTGAATTAAGCCAAACCACCAGTCAACAGACCGTCGACTGTGTCCCAGCGACATATTCTTATGGCATGAGCGGTTAGATTTTCTTAAAAATGTTCCTCGTGAAATCTTGACATCCATCTCGACAGATCTAAGACCTTCTCGAGGAGACGTGTAGTGAAGAGCGAAACCGGCGCACGAGCGCACAAGTGCTCACTCTGAGTAGTGCTTGCTGGTACGCCTGTGAAACTCTTTCCATGCTTTTCGAAGTTAATCAGAACAAGCTACGCACTTTGTTAGTTTCCAACCGAAACACCTTTTCTAACCTATTTTTTTTAAAAACAACCTAGGCTCTATAAAGTGACAGATTTGATGTGTCAAACGTAAACCACCTCTACTCCTCTGCTCTGTTAGTGATATTTTCGTTTACTTTCTGCTCACTCTCCTCCCGGCCTTTCTGCCTGTTTTGATTCGTATAGAGCACCGTCAGAAGTTCTGGTTTCGCTTCAAGATTAGCAGCTCCGGACAGTTATAGCTACAAGTGGCAAGGATTGGATGACCGGACGTAGGCTTCCGGTCGGCCAAAAAACGGTAGCGATACAGAAGTTATTATAACAATCATTTTAATAGTTGATCACTGCTGGCAGAACATAAACATTCAGAGAGCCTGCTCGCTTCTAGTGCAGGCGTCTCGCTGTATCTTCACGGCATTAGCGATGTCCGTTCTGTACGAGTTATGGGCTATTTCCAGACTCGCCCTTGTGTCCCGCCTGTCGCCTCTGTTCGCGTGGTAAGCTCTTTGTTTGTCAGTAATTCTCGCACGTTCGCCATTTCTGTGTCGCGTTTAATGTCGTTTTTTTACAATTTTTTGTGTTTTGTTTGCTGCGCTGCTTTGAAACTGGAGTCATGATTATTTTTGGTTGTCTGAGATGACATTTTGCTTGCCATTGTCCTTCTGTCCACTGTCTGTCTGTCTGTCTGTCTGTCTGTCTGTCTGTCTGTCTGTCTGTCTGTCTGTATCTGATTGTCCTTATACAATGGCCAGATTGTCCAGACTTAGTATATCACACGCTCCATGGGCTTTATTTTACTCGCAAAGGCACTCGTACAAGTAGAACGCATGCGTTCTCATACAATTTACACGTGCCGCACAGGCACGAATGTGTGCGTACGAGAGAGAGGGGGGTGGGGAGGGGGGAGGCGGTTGATTGTGTGTTTATGTGTATGTTTGTAGGAGAATGAGAGAGAGAGGATCCGGAACTTACAGAGACTGAGAGGCGCGTGCTTGCACACAGATTGAGAGGAAAGGAATGAGAGAGAGAGAGAGAGAGAGAGAGAGAGAGAGAGAGAGAGAGAGAGAGAAGAGAGAGGGGGGGGTGAGAGAGATCGGGAGAGAGATGGATCTGACACCTTTTAAAATAATGTAAGAAAATGTACAAGGGTTGTGGGCGCCGGGAGGGGAGATCAGAACGCATAACAACTCATTTTGTGGAGTAATAACATCCCCGGTGTTATTCTAATTAGGAAGGTGTTCTGTTCTCACTTCAAAGGGAACGCAATACAATAGCTGTCCGTTCTCATCCTTTGCTATTAGCTCTCACGTGTCTTCTTTGTTCAAGCCCGTGTTAGAATGTTCGCAGCTAACTTGACGGAAATGATGAGGGCTGTCATTCTTTTTTTCGAAATGCATTCTCTCACATATTTACTCAAATGTTTCTTTCGTTTCACTTTTGTTGTGCCAGTGGTTTTTATATCCGTTGTTTCTGTATTTCTGTCTGACCTCTTTCGTGTAATAAATGACCATTGTCGATGTGTTTGTCTTTACCCAACCATTCCTCTTTTTGTTTCTGTGACGTTTGAGAGGAAGGGTGTCACTAGCCTTTCTGCCAGTAAACAATGATGCCTCTGGTGTAAATGTTGGACTCTTGTCCTTGCAGGCGAAAGACATGAGATCGATTTCAACGAGGGAAACATGTTTTATCGAGAGCCCCTTTCCTCTATACTGGCATTATGTATTCCACACAGCGTAAGCTGGGCTTGACTTACAGGATTAAAGCAACCCGCCTCCTAAACGATCTAGATTGTGTCGATTGGGTAGTAAAATTTGTTCCTGCGGGTGGTTTGCGGGCGCTCTTATGTGGTTTGCTCCTTCTGTTCTATCTGACATCTATCGTCCTGATTGCTCCTTTTAAAAATAAAAATTGTACTCTCTTGTAACACATCTAATCTTCGGCACTTATATGACCATATTGTGTTGCAAGTAACGTAAAGCTCTTGTTAAAACCAAGTAAAATGTGTGCTACCAATCAGCTTATGTTGACGCATGGTTCCGTGACCTGCGTTATATATGATGCCACAGGCCATGATGATGCCCACAGGAGATGATGCTAACATCCTTTTTTTTCTGTTTGTCTTCCAGCTTCGGCCGTCGCAGCCCGGGCAGCTCTCGGAGAACCAGCGAGTGCCTTACACTGGAGCCGGCCGAGATGATCGTGGTGAGTAAAGGCCAGGAAAACCCAG